TATCTTTTCTATTTCAGCAATTTCAAAAGACAGACATTTAGAGGAAATAAGTCCTGTTTCGGGCTAAGAGCTAAAAAGTACAAATTCCAGTATATCATTGACTTTATAGTTTTTACTTATTAAATGCTTGGAGACTAACGTTATAACCAATAGAAACCTTACTTGATTATTAATATTTACAGCTATAATGTTATTATACTTTTAATGTTCCATTTACAATTTGCAGTCAGTCTGTCAGAATAATTGAAATCCCAAATGGAAAATGAATCCACATTGGCCCAACTCTTTCATTAATAATGTCTTGAAATTTTTTTTCTGCAGACAATAATGTATTGAATTTTAACATTATGCGATATTGAATGCGAAGACGAAAGTAGAATGAATGATCTGACAGCATTTCAGTAACAGAATGATCTGTCACTTTGTTAAGGTAGTTCATATTCAAATTTCACACTACTAAGCACATGCATGCAATGCATTATGGGAGATAACTTCCCAATATATATACCGGTAATAACAAAACATTATCACACTGGAAACCAATTAAAACATTTCAAAGTATTTTTTTCATCGTACATTATCAACTAAAATTATAAGAAAGAAAATGTAGAAATAATTTAACATCAATGTACCCAACCATGGATTGTTCAACATAAGTCGTAAAGGAAAATTTACAAGAACATAAAACAAATGACTGACAATTGGAGGGAAAAATCTACAAGAACAAAACAATTAACTGACAAGTACATTACACCACATAGTCAAACCAGTAAGATATATGGACCCAATGGTACACATGAAGGGATGTGAGGTGTTTTGAAAGAACACATCCTGCTCCACATGTACAAATAATTTCACCTGTCCGAACCAAACATGCAAATTTGTGCCATATTCCATGATATTTCAGAATATTGTTTTTCAAAAATTGTCCGTACCTTGATGGCAACTAATCCATAATAATGAAACCATGGAGATGACATAATCTTCAATTCAGGTGAACCTTTTAAGTAGCTTATATTTTTATACAACTGACTTATCAGAACAACTCCTAATATTCAGTTTTAAAATCAACACCATACGAGAGGCTCTCAGCATTACTGTGAAAGGTTGCCTTGATACTCAAAACAAAATGATATAGGCAAAGGTATAAAATAAAGGACAGGTCAGAATCATTCAAACCACCCATGACGTTTATTAGTTTTAAAATTAGCACTGTTATGAGTGGCTCTCAACATAGCTGTGAAACTGTGAAGGGTTGCCATGATACTCAAAACAAAGTGATACAGTCAAGTCAAAGTACAAGTCAAGATCAACTCATTAATTTGGTGAATTACACTAAAACCATTCCGTGCCGTGGTCACATGACAGGCCAATCAACACATCAATGCAGTGGAACACAATACAGTGACCGATAACCAAGATAGACTATACAGAGAAATTATCGATGAGATATAAGCTCAAATAATCTTTTTTTTTTCTTCTGAGTTTACAGGAGTACCTTCATGTGCATTTTAGCATGGACATTGTCTTGGGTACAGTTCATAAATCAATTATTATCAGGCAAGTGTTGAAACAGATTAACCTACCAGCAAGATTACCGGTTCACCTTTTTATTATACCAGGTACCAATAATAACACAATCCATCTTACTTACAATTTATATTGTTTCCAAACTAAACAACTGATGTTGTCATTTTTCCCATAATTATTGATTTTACAAAATGTGAACAATTAGTACATTTTCATATATTTTAATTTTATTGATGTATAATCCAGAGACACGTTGGTGTCTATAAACCATTACATGTTTAATTGTTAAGTTTTTGACTTTTATTTTTCTATTCTTATCAAGTGGAGATTTGTGTTCAAAACAATTTTGTTTATCCAATCAAAAAATTAAAAAAGTTAAAATGCCTGGTACATTGAGTTTCAAAATTGCAAATTAGTTTTTTGATATTAATTTTCACAGAGGCAAAGTGTACCAGCACTCTTGTACATAACCTTTAACCTAGGACGACCTTAGTGACAGAATAGTGGTTCAACATTTCAATGTATTTTTCAATAAAATTGTTGTTATTTTTTAACTAAATGGACATAATTTTCAGTAACCTACAGATTCTGCACACAATTTTGCAAAAAATACACAGGTTTATTTTGTGAAATGTAACAGACAGTTGACTTTAGTGTTTAGTGTTAAAGAAATAAATAGCGCATAGTATTTCTGAGGGTACTTTTATGTGTGTTTGGTTTGTTTATCGTTGAACACTGTTTTATTGGGATCCTGGGACTGTTTTGTGACATATTCTGAATTTACGCGCATTGTTGAGAAATTACATGGATTCGCCAGAATTCAAATTACTCCTGCCTGCAATCTTAGTGAATCAATAAGAAAACGCAAATATTAGGAAAGAAAATGTTAAAACAAAAACAAATTGAAAGCCGAAACAGTGCTGGGACTTGTAGAAAAGTGTTGAAACTCAAAAGTTTATTGTATATTTACGACAATTTTCACAAATTCAAACTATCAAATACATGTATTATGTATATATAAAACTGTAGGAATATTCTGAGAGAACAAATTTAATACTAAGAAACACGAATGAATAAAATCAAACATAGGCAGTTTATATAAAAAAACAATGATATACTTATGGGTTGCTATTAGCAACAATGATTTCATCACAGCTCAGTGACACACAGCCTTGTATCAGGGTTTAATGACATGTGGGACAAACTACTGCAGTTTTTATTTAAGAAATCAATTCTATTACAATATTGGTATCTCAATTTGTCATTAAGGAGTTGGAGAGAAAAGAATTGCATAGAGAAAATTTTGGAAAATATAAATCTAACATACATGATGTACATTCAACAGAGAAAAGCAACATCTGAATAACAAAATGTATTTTTTTTTAATAATTTTTGTTTTATCTTTCTTCCAGAGTTTTGCAAGGTCATGATTAAAAGGACTAAAATAAATCTAGGCACAGTTTTCCTACCAACCACCATCCCAAAGTTTCTAATAATCCATTTATTTAATTTATTACCACACAATATTTCCCAGTGTAGATAAGAATTGACATACAAATAATATAAAAATAGAAACAAAAATCACGATGAAATGTAAGTATACAATAGTTTTATATAGTTACAAATACTGTAAAGGGGTTAATTATTCACTGGGTTTTTTATTTTTGCTTATTTCGCTGACTGGAAAATGCGCTAAATTAAAACCCAGTGATTATGTAAAATTTAGCATAGAACTCATTATCTAAATGATAAAACGATGAATTTAAAACCCACTGAATATGCCTCAAATGGTAAATCAGCGAAATTTAAACACAGTGAAAATTAGTCATTTTACAGTAATACGAGACACTATATAAAACAAATTATAGTTAGTCATCAAACAAATAAAACGATCATACACTGATGTACACAAACCCATGTACATAATAAATTATTTCTAAATCTAAATATTTATAAAATCAAATGACACATTGTATGTACATTTTTTGTATGAGCTTGTATAGTGACGTCACTGATTTAGTGGATTAATTATCCCTGAGGGCACTATAATTATTCCTGTAAAAATTATGGTGCAACATGTTGCCAATTTTTATGTATTTTTCAATAATTTTTTTTTTTTAATTTTGATAATTGTATATTGCATACAAATTTTGGTTTTATTTTGTGAAAGGTTACAAATGTCGACTTTGGCCGTCAAAAAGGTTGAATGGCTGCTCTATATTTGCAAAAAAATGGATGTTGGACTGGCGAGCCAATCTAATCCTTATTTTTGGATTTAAATGAGACTTATCTCAAACCAAAACAGTTAGGTTTATAAATGTTTGTAAGTATAAACATGGGTTTGTTGACTGAATACAGAGCAGGATGTGAGGAGTGTAATACTCTTCAAAGCGAATGAGAGGATTATCTTCTGTATGAATCTACATGCTCCAGGGCAGCACACAGACTTAATGACATCTTTGGATGCTCACTGGCTGCACTTGTTGAGGGTTTTCAATGTTACGTACATAAGTACATAATTTTCAACATGATTCTACTGTTATATCAATGAAACTTAATTTGAATCACCCAAATAATGCCTGTAGCCAATGAAAAATTACTTTTAGATTTAGAAATTTATGGCACTTTCGCCACCAATGGCTGAGACAAATTTTAAATTATAAATTAATCTGAGAATGTGGACATTTAAACTTCATGTCAATTACCTTCTGAAAATGTACTCTCAGCTCAACAAAGGCACTGTTTCATTTTTATATAATTTATAAATCTCAAGGGCATTTGAATCCAACCAGCCAATCACCACAGAGCAAAACAATTCCTTTTGAAAATGTTCTTATATCACTCAATGGGCCAATAAAGTCTTTTGTTTCAGTTTGAATTGTGAAATTTATAAATATTTATAAAACTGAAGGGAATGCCTTTGTTGCACTGAGAGTATATTGTTTAATAATTAGTTGATCATTACAAACTCTTGAGTGGGAAAATGGTGAAAATATTTGTTTCATTTCACTTAATTTTGAACAAGCTTTTTTTCCTCGGGGGAATGTTTCTTTACTTTATTAAAAATATCAAATATGTGAGAAACAATTAACAAATTGTATCTTCTGCTGGGTGATTAGAATTTTAACACATCAAATAATTTTTCCAGAACATATTGCCGTGGCCGTGATGATGCTCACTTGAACAAAAATGACATAAAACTGATGTTTGTACTTTCAAAAACAGCCTCCAAAAATAATTATAAGGCTTAAAAATATGTGATGCTTTGTAACTCCCCCCACCACCCACTTACTTATAACCATACACCCACCATCACACCTGTTATTGTAAATTACGTTGTACACCCTTTGCCATGGGACAGTTGAACACGACATATGGAGAGTCCCGTGGGAGGGGCTAACAAAGAGGTTATAATATCATACCCCCAAATTCGAAAGAAATATTTGTACTCGTTAACGCTAATTACTTACATCAGAATCAGCGCCCATAACACCAATATCCTTTCCTGGACACTGGAACGAAACGAACTCATGGCATCTCTTATGAGTTACAAACGCACACACTGAAAAATATGATAAGACCAGAACGTTACAATAAGGAATGAACCGTTATGATCTGCGTCTACTGTACACACACGAAATGAATTGACGGTCTTTAAAAGGTTCCAATTCAAAACATCCGCCATATTGTCACTGAATTGGGCCAATAATATACAGGGAGATGGGAGGTCAACAATGATTCGATGATAATCGGTCAATATACAAGCGACTGGTCATACCTTGGCATTGGAATCCTTGCTTGCCAAACCCCCTAAAATGAGAAAGCAACACAGGTTTTTAAAATTGCTATTCGCAAAATATATTCTCGAGAAAATAAAATCGAATGCCTCCAACGATGAATACGAATCATGTACAGGCTTACCATATGAAATCCTTACAATGACTGCAGAATGTGGGCTGTTTGAAAAAACGGGCCACGAATTTGTGGTCTTTCACTTCATGAATATTCTTCTGCCTCAGGGCTCCCCGACGAGCAAATCCTTTCGGTGGAGCGGTGACAGAGGTCCCTTCGCGAGAAGAAGACTGTGACATGTTGGCCGAAAGAGAATCTCTACACGCACTAGTCCGTGATCACTGCACCGAACCGAATGCAGTTCTGTTGCCGACTGATTGCCACGAAGATAACGTTGTCACTACATTAGGGGCGCTATAACGCAACTTAGTCGCGTCGCCTATTTATTTAAATTTATTGCCATTGCTTTCCATTTATACTGTATTGTGTGTTCATTTCGTATTATCCAATTAATTAGAGAATAATTATAGATATTAATGCTCCACTCACAGACCGTCAAAGAATTGTTTTTTTTTTTATAAAATGCCCGAATTTCATTAGACAAGCTCTGCCGCTTAAAGAAAATACGTAATTCAAATCACATACAATGTAGTGGATATATTTAACAGTATTGCTAACAACGTCCCAGGTTTTAATTACTTCAAGTGCTTCACCAGTTTACAAAATCAGCTATTTAATATGAGACAGTACGAAGTCACCGCGTAGGCGAGCGCCCTCACGAATATTATAATACAAAATGGAATATTCTGGAATTTGCTTGTGACAGAATTCATTTTCGATTCGAATGCCCCTGGATGAAAATTATATATATTATATTATATTATATTATATAAAAAAATGTCTTCCAATCATAATTCCAATCATTTTTGTTGAATACACGTGCAGTGTTGAGCATCATTTATTTGAACTTGGTGGCAGTTCGGTAAATTTGAGAGAACAATTTTCCAATACACTGAAGTAAGCAAAGGCATGTACGTTATAAATTATTTAATACTCTCAAACGTTTGCTTCAGCAACTTTAGGCTATTCTAATATCTGTCTCGTGTGTCTGATTGATGCGCAGGGGCTTCGCGGAATGGAGGGAGTTGCCTTCCTAACCAATCCAATCGTTTCGTTTGGATTTGAATGAAACTAATTTCAAATAAAACCACCTGGATGTTTAAGAATAAACATGTCTGATGTTAGTCGGGAAAGATGACCACCCGACTTTTATTTTTTCAGAAAACGGGCACACGTTTTTACAGTTTTAGTGTATTTTAGGCATAAATGTTTTATAAATGTCGAAAGATGGCTTTAAACAACTTGACCAATCACAACGACGACGTATAGAAGTTATCAAGAATGATTGAAAATCAAACTACAAAACTAATCATGATGGATAATGCAGTCCGTGCGATGATTCGTTATTTACATACGTGTCTGAAGTTTAAAATGATGTCTCCTTGACAACCGTTATATAGGTTTAATTTTAATTTTGCCGGAAATCGCCGTGTACCCACATATTTCTAACCTCTTATTTGCCAGACATTCTAATAAACCAATGGAGAGTTCTACAACACAAATTTGTGCCATCCAGTTTTTGTTAAGCGGTTTTAGATTAATCATATTTTCTACACTGTCACAGATTCAGCGAAAAAAAGATTAAATGATTAAAGATTTACGTAATCAGAATGCATGTATAGTCATACAGAATTCTGGTGTTGTTTCCCAGCAAAATGTACATTTTCGGACCGCAGAAAAATAACGATTCAACGAGAAAAAATTAGGCAATGCCACGCCAATTACTATAGTAACACAAATTTGATTATTGCAGACAACTTACAAAGTAATTAATTCTTATATTAGTGGAATTATATTCATCTGGAATTGCTCTCCCCTCCCCCTCCCACATCGACTGAATCGTTGATGTCATTGCCCTGGTGTCACAGCTGGTAAGTTGTACGTAACCCCAGGCTGTAGTGGCTACGAAACCACGTTAGATTAAAGCAGGGCCATGGAAAGTATACCTTCAACAGAAGATTGATGTTCCCAATATCTGCCATTTTTGTGTCACCGAGTAATTTATTGATACATTTTGTGCTGTAACATTGCACTTTGACATCCAAATTTTCTGACATGTCGGTTACCCACAGTTTTTTCTTGGTAACTTGTATTTTTTAATGGAACCGTTTAAGCAGAAACATGCCGTTTATTGATATTGCTTTTCCACATACTATGCCACAGTCTAAATAAGTACGCGCAACAATTCGAACAAAATTAACATTTTTTGTCTATTTTATTGTGCTAGAAAACAATAAGGTAATACTCTATGGGTCAAATAATGTACCGGTCGAACTGATCGTCATGGAAACAACGAAGACTACCACCCGTGATCGTGGTAAAAATTGAATGACATCATAACTATCGAGATTCATGGATAACCAATCTAAACATAACGGCAAGTACATACGATGTAAACATAGACCTTAGAAAGGTCTACGATGTAAACAACATAACTTGTATTTGCCAAATGAACAGTTTGTAATCTTTTGTAGCAAATTGTATACAATGGGATCTGATTGAAAATTACGAATTAACAAATTATTACAGAACAAAATCACAGCACCTGAATAAACTGAGTACACCAAATTAACAAATAATAGAGAATAGATTGGCCTAATTTCAGGAATTGGGTAACACGTATACAGTCTAAAAATACACCTCAGCAGACATATAGTATAGACATATAAATGAACCGAAAACAGATTGTTTACGACCATACAAAGAAATAGAAGATTAAATATATTATATAATAAGAAACATTTGATATACATATTACCTTTTGTATATACTTGCTTATTTTTAAAAAAAAATAAAATAGCGGAAGTCGAGAAAAATACAAAAAAATGAGAAATGCATTATGATAGTGAATTTTGAAAAAAAAATGGGAAAATGTTGGCACATGTTTTCTGTATTGGAATGATGAAATACAAGGGGAAGATATGAAAGATCACTTCGACATCAAATGAAATACAAAACTGAAGCTATAACTTAGAACCTGGTAGTTTTACTAAGCATAGACCCTCCAGTAAGGTACGGACTAAGAGGCAGTTATCGTTAATTAACGGTCTGTTTTGGAACCGAAATCTGGTTTGAGACGCGCAGCGGGAGTAAATGAACATAAAAGTTGCTTGTTTCCCAGGTGACATTTGTTGTCGATCAAACACGTATGTAAATTTTTCTATCGACATCTTCACATGAAAACAAGACAACTTGCTGACAAGACACCACTCGACAAAGATTGACGATCCGAGAAATGTCGTCTAAAATCTCACCTCAGTATATTTATTTATTATTTGCGTAAAAATACAATATAACCATATTTCTCGTCAAAAAATCAATGAAAATAGTCAATTTCAATTACATTTACATGGAAGTTATTGTCAGAGCCGCGGCAACATTAAGCTTCACGTCTGACGAGCGCCCTCATCTGGGCGTACTGATAGGTTTATCCATGAATGAATCTAACATGTTTGTAAGCAAAAATCAAAGTTTAAAACATTTTATCATTTTATATTAAAAAAACAAGACCAAAGATCGAAATTTTTTTTTTAAAGAAAAGTTAACGACAGTTTTCACTCATTCCCACTAACATCACATTAGTAATAACTGAGTTGCGATTATAATTTAGGCTAAATTGATAGTAGTATAGCAAAGCCTATTAACCTTAGCTATAAAAAAAACACCTATCTATAGTGTCCACTTCTAAACAGTCCCAAGCTTAGGCATAACATATGAGCAACCTGTGTATAAAGATCACCTGTCTACTAATGTGGCCACCCTTTTTTGCAGATTCACCTTTGTTTAGAGACCAAAATAGTATTTAGCATTTACAATGTTTAAAAGGGCG